CCAGTAGGGGTGAAATTAATAGTGACATCCTTGAATAAAAAGGCCAGCAATATATACTGGATGTCACTCCTTTCCCTTGGGAGTGTCTGCTTATTTAATTTGTAACTCCTACCCTTCTAAAGTGAAAGGTATTTTCACACATAAGGAGAAAAACATACACTTCCTCTTGTGATACTTGGAAATTGCTAGGGGCTATCATCATTTGTGAGTAGAATTAATTTATAAATTACAATGTACATAGAGAATCCTGAACAGAGCTGGGATAAAATCTATCCCAGCCAATCCTGAGCTGTGACTTGAGAAAACATTAGCTCAAAAAAATGACTGTTGAAAATTTTACAACAATGTTGCAGTTTACCTTGACAACACTTTACTGATGCAAATTAGAATAGCATTATGACCAAAATAGATTGCCTGTGCAATTCATTTAGTTTAAACTAGACTTTCCCCCCCCATGTCCAAAATTTTACCATCATTGGCATTTTATGAATACATTCTGGTTCCCAATGGAGACCTGAACCACATAAACTACTTTTAAGCCATATTTGACCACAACATTCAAGATCAAGTATGGAGGAAGGATAAAAGTGAGGTAACTTCTGATGAAAGAGTTGCAACAGTCAAAACAAGTCTTGGGGATGTGGTAATAGGATGCAGATAAGAAGCAAATTTAAAAACAGATGACTATTGATTCTGAGAGGACAATAATGTTCCAAACATTGTAGAAAAATTAAGAAGTGACAAGGATTTTAGGGAACGATGAATTAGTCATATCCATGTTAAACTGATGTTGCTATATGTTGTAGACAAGACTTCAAGGGATCAAATGATGAAACAAAGGCTAGAAACAATAGTCCATACAGACCTATGGGGTTGGATGGATAACAAGGATCTGAACACAGGTATGTTGTGGCCAGTGGACCACTAATGCAAGACTGGCTCACAGGAATATGAGGTTAGAAAGTAGGTCAGGCAGGACAGGATATAAGTACAGGAGAGGTTGAATTCAAAGGAAAATCTAAGATAAAGGTATCAGTTTAGGCAAGGGGCAGGCAGGTTAATCAATGGTGCTATATTCAGCAGAGGCTCAGCCCACAATAAATGTCTGATATTCAAACTTGAGGACTACAGAAAAGAGTAAGGGACCTGGGACACAAGTTCAAACTTTACACACTATAAAGCTAAAATCACTAAGGGCAGAAAAGGGGTGGTAAGAAAACTGCAAGGCTAGGAAGACCATTTCACTATGGTATCAGACAGATACAAGTTGCAATGCTGTGTCACTTGACTTGGCATTTTAGCGCCTCTTGTGGCATAGTGTTGCCAGGGCCTCCCTTGAGGTAAACAACTGGTAATATGACATCATACCAAACCAATACTGCTTCAGTAGCTGTAAAACTGATGGAAAATAATTTAATATGGCTGTTGATTACAATCCAGTATTAGTGTGTTTCTATGGAAATGTTATTTTCTCAGAGGAAAATTCCCAACTCTTGCTTGTGACCATGGCAGTGAGTGAAGACTTATGCTGAGTAGTGTCTCGTAAATCTTTTCCATAGCATCTTGACAGAGCTACTATCCACTCAAAAAAGAAATTAGGATAAAATATAAATCAATGAAATGAAGTACAGCAAAACACCCTATTTATTAGACTCAATTTTATGCATATCCATTTTTAATTGTTAGTTTTAGGGACTAAAGCCATCTTTCCATGTAGCATTGGGGAATTAGATTTCACCACTGTCTAATAATCTCTTTCACAGAGTTTTAACCCTAATTAATCTTCTCATTTCTAATAATGAGTAAACAATGTAAGTTGGTAGAGTTCATAGCTAATTGCTCCTAATTACAAATATCTCCCAAAAAATCCTCATAGACTTGAAAATTTAACAAGTATACAGACATCTGGATCAAGATGGCTGATTAACCAAACTATTTTACCTCTTCTTCCCCCAAGAACAAATTAACATGACATGAAAAAGCAAAAGATATAATGAAGAAGAGAAAGATATAGGAAATCGGCACAAAAGAGATTTCAGTATTTTTTTTAAAGATAGAAGTGGATAGGATGCTGACTGGTGAAGAAGTTAAGAAAAAGTAACAGAGGGGGTTTACATCTTGGGCAGATGCTGGTCTTCCTTATAGGCCCCCAGAAAAATTTGGAATCTGGAAATGCCAAGTAAGCCTGAGGGTGACAACAAAATGCGAGAAATTCATTGGAAGCCTATATTAATAATCATCTCTCACTCCCATGAGTAGCATTCTTTGTATTCAATCATTTATTCTCAAGGCATTAAAATTAAAAAAAATCAAAAGTTTCTTCTTTAAAGAGATTAAACAAGTAGTCTGAGAAGAATTCAGGTTACTGGTGTAGGAATTAATGCCCCAGACATCCTGGAATTTAAAGGCCTCCCAGCATATTGTCTCTATGTACATGAGTGGGAGTTATTGACTGGCAGGCCTCATATTTTGCTCAATCCCCAGACATGTTATCAATTTTCAGAACATCAAAAATAGAGAAGTTCCTTAAAAACAAAGCAAAACAAATCAAAAACCTCCCAGAGAGAAAAACATTAACAGCTAAAGAAATAAGAATTGGAATGGATGGGTCATCTCACTAGCAACATGGGCTGTTAGAGAACAGTGGAGAAATGCTTTCAGAATTTTGAGGAAAAAATATTTTGAAATGAAAATTTTATTCCTAGCCAAATATTAATTGAGTTAGATAGCAAAAGAAAGACATTCAGATTGCAAAGACTCCAAGTTTACTTCTCACATCCCTATTTTAGGAAGTTGCTTAAGGATATACTCCAGCAAAATGAAAGAGCAAAAAAAGACAGATACACAGTGGATTCTGAAAACAGTGGTCCTAAACCCAGAAACTAATAAAGTCTAAGGATAAGTCTAAGGATGAGAGCTGCACACTAGGCCTAAGGAGCACTCATTCTGAACTGAAGTAAAAGGATTAAAGGCCCTAGGGGAGGAATCCAGGACAAAGAGGGGGAGGGGGCTCAAGTTTTTTTCCATCTTTAGGAAATAAGAGAAAATTATGGATGTTGCAGACAATGCAAGGAAAAAATTAACACAATTAGAAAATCCAGAAAAATAACCCAAATAGTTATGCAAATCAAGAAATGTATT